GTGTGTGTGTGTGTGTGCGTGTGCGTGTGTCTGCGATATCTTAATGTGTAAGACATGCTCTGCCTCCTTCATCTGCAGCCTTTAGTACAGTCCACAGCCAAGGCAGCTGATTGGCTCTCTGGTCTCCATAGAAACAGGAGGAGAGAGACCCTGAATGCAGAGCCTATTACACACGTAATAATACATCAACATCACAGCCAGAGATCAAGGAAGGAAGAGAGAGAATCTCTTTCTGCTCTGAGAAATTAAACAGCACGGCCAGTAAATTAATCATTTGTCAATGTGAATTCCATGTGTGGTAACTGCCATGAATATAGTGTCACTATCTGAAAAAATTGTAATGGTACTAAATATATATGAAATATATATAAAAAAAATATGGCCTGGAGATGTGCATGAAACCTGTCCACTAAACAGAATTATTATTATTACCCACCACCTGTCCACTGTTGATTAACTGTCAAACATATTTTGGTGCTACTGCTGTTAAATTGCAACATCACATGAAAATAAATAAAATAAATGTCACTTAATTAAATGAAAACTTCACATTTCTGTAATGGTCCAGACTTCACTGGAGAAACGAATGACACTTGACTGGTGTTTATGAACCAGATTGAGCTGTTGTTCGTGGCAAAGGGATCTCATTATAATATTACCACCCCTTAATCTGTAAACTTCCACTCATGGCGCCGTCATTTTGATTTCACAAGCGACAATGGTGTAGCAGCTCTAATGCCATGGCAAAAGTTTGAGCGAAGCATGCTAACTGTTCTGTGTTTGGCTGCACAGACGAGCACAGAACACTGTTTAGAGTCCCAGCCTCAGAGGAGACAACAGAACAGTGGATTTATTGATTTATTTACTGTATATTGCTGCTGCCACACAGATCTAAAATAAACATGCAGCTGTTTACCTTCACAGACATAACCGACTGTTTTTGTAACTCATGTGTGTTTTTAATGTAAACTTGTGTGTGAATGAGAACTTAGTTTAGTACTCACATGCTGTGACAGCCGCTTTCTGTGCGTGTGCTTCGGATGTGTGCGCTCAGAAAACCGTATATCAGAAGTTAAATTCATATGGTTTAAAATGCAAGATTTCAGCGCGATAAACATGATAATCAGAACCAAAACAGATGTTTTTAGCAGGTCCGAGCTGTAATGGCGCAGCTCTATTCTGGAAAAGGGGCGGGGAGCAGCAGCTCATTTGCATTTAAAGAGACAGGCACGAAAAACAGTGTGTTTCTGCTTCCACTCAAAATAGGCATTTTCAAAATGATATAATAAATGATCTGTGGGGTATTTTGAGCTGAAACTTCACAGATACATTCTGGGGACACCAGAGACTTATATTACATATTGTAAAAAGGGGCATAATATGTCTCCTTTAATACGGAAATGTAACTACAGGAAAAGGACTGTGATCATTTTTAGTAATGCTGATGACGTGCAGTTTGAGAAGTGTGTAATCTTCTACTACTCTTCTAACTGTTTGCAATGTTTGATCTCCTCCATAGTGTTTTAAAATACAGCATTCTGTGTAGAAATCAGATGGGTTGAATATGTTTTGTGGTCTGCGTTCAGACCTTCAGATTCATGACAGCATTTGAACCAAAATTGTTGATCCGTATTGGTGATGGAGAGAGACTATAAATTCTGAATGCATATGTATACAGCAGCATGTCATTGTATGTCACTAACATATTCATGCTAACAGCCCAAAACTTGTTTTTTTTTATATTTCAGATGAGATTTAATTTCTAAAAAGTGTCCCATGGAAAGCATCAGCGATACAGTAGCAGTGATGGTGCATGGCTGGGAATTCCTGCTTCTGTTTCTGACACCTCACAGACTATTTTCTGCTGTGCAGCTGTGCTAAAAATGGACATGCAAGTGTAACAATGGGCTGTTTGCATTCTATCCACAGACTAAAACACAAGACAGATTTAACTGTGATTTACACATGGTGGAGGCGGAACTGGGGTTAAAATAGTGTGTGAAGCTGCAGTGTTTGACCTCTCTGACCTCTGAATGATGCTAATGATGTCACCACTGATTCCAGAAATAAACCAGCCCAGTCTGCCAGAAAGCTCTCAACAAAAGCATACACACCTTTCTGAAAAAAACATTCTTATATTACAGTATCAGCAGAAGATCATTTCATGTGTACATGTGAATTAATGTCTTCATGTCCTGTTTCTGCGTTTTATATGAAAATACGCCAAACAGCAGCATATGTGACGGCACCTTAAAGGAACACTCCACTATTTTTGAAAATAGGCTCATTTTCCAACTCCCCTAGAGTTAAACAGTTGAGTTTTACCGTTTTCGAATCCATTCAGCCGATCTCGGGGTCTGGCGGTAGCACTTTTAGCTGTAGCTTAGCATAGATCATTGAATCTGATTAGGCCGTTAGCATCTCGTTCAAAAATGAACTTTGCTGCCGTACCATTGGGTGCAGCAGGCGCAATGATATTACGCAGCGCTTGAAAATAGGCTTATTGGAAGTTACCTAGCTGGGGACTATTTTCAGGCGCTATGTAATATCATTGCGCCTGCTGCACCCAATGGTACGGCAGCAAAGTTCCTTGATTATTACGCCGGAATGAGGGTATAGTTCCTAGCCATATCGATCTAGAAAATCGCAACTTTTCATTTTCCGTCGGTCAAGAGTACAGAGTCAAGACAGAGGAATCGTGGGTAATCAACCAGTAAGATTACTGCACAGACTGTGTTTGAACACATGACCACAGAATGAAAGATTGAGATTTGAAATCTGATTTGCCATATTAACATGAAATAAGGTCACACATAACTGATTATGCAATTTAAGCTATTTATACCTGTTCTTACTCTTAAATTTAGTTTTGTTGGTTTAACCTAATATATTTATAATGTTAAATAACATTTTTAATATTTTAACTTTTTTATAAAATGAATTCGTTTAGCTGTTACCGAAGCACATTTTTAGCTTATCATTACACTTAATGTGGCTTAATGCATTCACACATTAAAAGACCACATTCACTAAAGCTACACCTTGATTATGCAAACTATGAATTTGCTCTGGTCCGCTACTGCGCTTCATTGCTTTAGAGGTTCAGTACACTGACGACTTGTCACCAGACTTTGCCATGCAATAGCTGTCCTTCCTTCTCGAAACTGAAAGTGATCAAGGCACAGTGTTACAAGAGAGACTGTCCAGTTCAGTCCTTCGGAGTACTGAGAGTACTGAGAGTACTGAGAATTAGCGATGCTTATGCAGGCCAGTGTTTGAACTGAGACGTGTAGCTGGCCATTAGCCCACATGAACTTTACTGAGCTTACTGTTGAATAACATATGTACCGGGGGCCTAGAACAGATGTCTGTGTAGTATTATTGTTGAAGGATCCTCCTGCTATTGCTAAAAGAACAATCAAATCAGAGCAGCGGCACATTTGCATCTACGTTCATTGACTATAGCCTATTTATTCCTGCAGAGATTTCAGTCTGTCTAAAAATTAGAGGTTCAGTACACTGACGACTTGTCACCAGACTTTGCCATGCAATAGCTGTCCTTCCTTCTCGAAACTGAAAGTGATCAAGGCACAGTGTTACAAGAGAGACTGTCCAGTTCAGTCCTTCAGAGTACTGAGAGTACTGAGAATTAGCGATGCTTATGCAGGCCAGTGTTTGAACTGAGACGTGCGCTGGCCATTAGCCCACATGAACTTTACTGAGCTTACTGTTGAATAACATATGTACCGGGGGCCTAGAACAGATGTCTGTGTAGTATTATTGTTGAAGGATCCTCCTGCTATTGCTAAAAGAACAATCAAATCAGAGCAGCGGCACATTTGCATCTACGTTCATTGACTATAGCCTATTTATTCCTGCAGAGATTTCAGTCTGTCTAAAAAGCTATATCAAATAGCCTAATGTTATTCAATAACAACATCAAATGCATCAATGCAATGATAAACCATCACATTCATTACTGTTAAATCAGTTATGAGATTGGGGAGACGGACAGTAGAGTGTTGCAACAGGTGCCAAATTAATTTTCATACATGTGTCCTTTAATAACACACTGGACTATATTCTCAGCACATTCACTGCATCGTATGTGTAAATACAGATGTTTAAATCCACTGGTTGATAGACTTCAGCATATTTCTATGGTGACCGTGTCACATGATTTAGTTGAAATACTTGATTGTTTCCTCACCGAATGAATATAAGATATAATACATTAATACTGGTCTGAGTATTTGTCTGAGAAATTTGTCAGACAGTTTGTCTGAGAAACAAGTCTATAAATTAAAATTGGCTGTAGTTTCTTTTTTAGACCTTATTCAAGTGGTCATGAGAGTTTTTTGCATGAAAAACAGTCATATAACTGTAAAACACGACGAGTCCCGACCCTCATTCTGACCCTCTTGTTGATTACGCTGCAAATGCTTTTGATAGTGCTCTACCTTTTTATTCAACCTGAAACCCTCTTTAAGAAATGAATAGCTCTCTAGGTGTGTGTTATTTAGCAATCTGATGTGATCTCACAAGACACAAGATGACTGAATTACTAGAACTGAAACTAGAGAGCATCCCAGTGAACTCAAATCAGTGAAAGAAAATCCATGAAAAACTTCAGGTCACCTTCAAGTCTCACATCTGGAAGAATAAAAGTGCTGCATGAACACTTCTTAACACATTCAGACAGAAGATTTCAAACCATGTTGAAATGTTTGGTACTGTAAATGCAGCCCACATATCAAAATAAAGTCACCACTTCAATTTCTGCAATAAAAGGCTGCATGATTTTGCAGATGTGCAGATATCAGCACACCAGCCTGTTCACTCACTGTATGATACATTACACCTGCCAAAATCACTCGCTCCAACCACATACCAAAAGATGGGGTGAAAGGTATACTGTATATCGATTCCAGCAGGCAATTATGAAGAAATAGTTTATGGATTTGACACGTTAGTATCCAAATCTAATCTTTGAATAAGCTAAATGTCCTGTAAATTCTGCAAACTTATTTCAACTATATATAATGCATCATTTTTTTATTCAATTTAATATTATAAATGTAACTCTGCATGTCGGGAAACCCAAATGCACACAAGCAAAAAGTGTTTCTGTGAAAGTTTAAGAAAAAGCAAAGGTTTGAGCCCCAGGGCTGATGTGATTTCTCACAGCACCAGTGATATCTGTCACGTAGTAGCAACATTATATGTGTGTGTTTTTTTTTTCCAAAAAATAAAAGTTTACAGCACCTTCAATTATCAGCCCAGTCTGCCGTTGTCGAACTGTCTTTTATATGCACACATTTATTCTGCTATGAGTGTCGTTCAGACAAACTGCCAAACCCAATAAATACAAATATTATTTTGTTTTCTTGCATTAAATGTCCTATGAAAGCTACAAAGCTACAATAAACTAACAGTGGCCCCACTGGTTTCTTTCACAGCAACAAACTCACAGTCAAAGCCATATGAAGAACATGACATGTTACATTTTAAGATGACATCAAACCACTGACACATTCATGACATCATTTCTCATCAGATATCCTGGTGCACATGTTTTTCTTCAGAGTGACTGAAGCATGAAGTGAATCTAGCTGATCACTAATTTCACATCAATCATTCAAACTTTAATTTTGTTCCACTCATTAATACTGCATACCTGCATGCTATTATAAATATAAATATCATTCTTTGGGCGTGTTTCATTTAGTAATGTGCCTAATGACCTGAAGATGTTAGTATGACGTACGACCTATAATATACTATCAGGTGTACAAATAAATGATGAATTGTCAGTGTCATTGGAAAGCCACTAATGAGGAGTCTTCATCGAACTGGACTTTAGAAAATAATTACAAAGTAGCCAAACAGTGCATTCCATTTGCTATGACTAACAATAAAAATTCTAGTACAGTATACAAAAACTCTAGAATATGATCTAAATAAAGGGGGGCATTTACTGTACCCGAAGGATGCCGACTTCCACTGTTGGTTTGGCACAGTTCTCCTGCACACGGCTGATCTGAGGCTGCTGGGACTGTCTGTCATTTCCACAGGAAGAGAGGCATGTCTTCTGCAGACAGAAACACAACTCAGACACTTCATCACAGTCTGCAGCAGAACGTCCGAGCTTAAATACACGTGGATGCGGAGCTCCCAAATGAAAACTCAAACACCTTGCAGGGTGTTAGCAAGCACTCAGAATAATAATGGCAAGCACTCACAGGGTATTGTGGAGAATAATGGACATCACGTTTAAAACGCTTTAAAATTCAGAGAATATTCACCATCACCAATACAATAGAAGTAAACATACAACATACCTGACGATTCTTGTACTGCCATATTCTGACCTGAAACACAAAAATAATTAAAGAAAAAAAACATATGTAAGCAGAGTAGAACAAATCGAAATCACATTTAGTCACACTGAAATGGAAAACATTCAGTAAACCTTCATTTATTGTAAATACATGTGCTTTTTAACAAGTGCCACTGCAGAATTAGAATTATGATCAATTCCAGCATATATTTCAGGAATTAATTTTATGCACTGTATTCATATATAGAGTACTGCAGCTGTGACGTCGAAACCCAGAAGACTAATGTGCCACTGATTCCCCTTGAGTTTTTATAATGGGTTTTGTTTTAAAATTCATGAGTAAAATAAGGTCTTCGGTAAATATAACTTGACGATACTTGGACATTTTGCTCTACAACATAATTTACATACACCCATTACGAAAACACAAATTTTGAGGCAGTTATTTATTTATTTATTTTTAAATAATGTTTGTAATGAATGTAAGTAACTACATACGCTTTGTGTTTTGTGTGCAGTTTACGCTGTACAACAGTACAACGTATCATCAACACTATTGTCAAGTTATGTTTACCACAGACCTTATTTTGCTCATGACTTACAAAACCCTATTATAAAAACCCACAGGAAAATCCCAAGGGAAACCAGTGGTGAATTAGTCTTCCGGGTTTTGACGTCACGGCTGCAGCACTCTGTACTGTCAGCATCTGTGGCCATGACCCACCTCACATATTAGTGTTCGAATGTCAAATATCAACTCCAGTGCATGCAACATTGAGAGTAAAACTATGAATCTGTGCCACTGGCTTGTATAGATATATTGGCTTTAATCTTTAAAAGTTGCTGGCTGCTCAGATTGCACACTCTGTCCTGACTGAATGCAAACATCATGCTGGAGCTGGATGACAAATGCCTGCGGTTCTGAGGGATCTCAGAACTGTAACATTACAACAGAAGCCATTAGAGGTGAGTCTCCTCTCAGCTGCCCACTGCACTGTTTGAAGACGCCACTGTAATAAACGTCAGGTCACTCCACGAGAAAAGACGCAATGAACACATCGGCCACTGCTCTGATTTACTGCTGGCTTCCTGTGTTAACCATAACCCCTTAAATGTTCATTTGTTCCTCACATAAAGCCATGGCTTCAGAAGAGTGCATTTATAGTGTATGGGTCATATACTTTTGTGAAAAAGAAGTGCATTCAATTGAATTGAATGAGCACTTGTAATGTAAAAGTATATTTTTAAGGGTAGCCCATTTGTGAAAATGTCTCATGCTGCTCAAACTGATGCAGCTGTTTGATTGAAAACACTGATGAATTTCTACATATTTCATCTACTGTAAATAGGGTCCTTATTGGTTGCCTTTCAGTCGGTCACGCTCGACGTCACGTATTGGGAATCTAGCCAGAGAGACCAATCCGCTTCGAGTGTAACTAAACTAGCCAATGGGCATTGGCATGCGGAATTCGCATCTGGCTGCCACACCTCGCAGCGCAGGTATAAGAGGTAGCAGGTGCACCGCATTCATTCATCCTTTCGCTTTGGAGCTGAGCGGTGGTGCATCACTACTGCTCTCTACTTCGGTGATTGCAAGAAAAAAAAAAAAGAAAAAAGCAAGTGCGGGCGTTACGACAACAGCAGCAGTGGTCACGAGATCATCAAAGATGGTGGCCCGCTCCCCTGCGTGCTTCAGCATTAGAAAAGAGCAATCTCTAAAAGAGCAATACAGGTGATCGTGTCTTTTTAAAGATGTCTTATTACCCGTGTGTTTCTGGGTGTTGACGTTTCCTGGCGCCTCAGGACGGTCACGATCGCTGTCTCACGTGCCTGGGCATTAGTCACGCTGAGAAAGCGTTTGTGGGTGGTGCATGTTCTTCTTGTGGGGACATGACCATCTCGGAGTTACATAAAATACTCAGCTACGTCAAACGTGGTGAAGTCCCTCTGCCGCGATCCAGCGTTCCACCCTTAAGGTTTACGTTGCTGCTATTTCCGCCCACCACAACTCCATAGAGGGGAGGTCGGTGGGGAAGCACGATCTGGTCGTCAGGTTCCTTAGAGGGGCCAGGATGTTAAATCTTCCTTGGCCTCCCTCCCTACCCTCTTGGGATTTGGCATTGGTGCTAAGAGCCCTACAAACTGCCCCATTCGAGCCTTTGGAGTCAGCTGAAGTTGAAGTTTCTTTCTATGAAAACCCTACTCCTGACTGCATTGGCCTCGATCAAGAGGGTGGGGGACCTGCAGGCATTTTCACAGGGTATTGTGGAGAATAATGGACATCACGTTTAAAACGCTTTAAAATTCAGAGAATATTCACCATCACCAATACAATAGAAGTAAACATACAACATACCTGACGATTCTTGTACTGCCATATTCTGACCTGAAACACAAAAATAATTAAAGAAAAAAAACATATGTAAGCAGAGTAGAACAAATCGAAATCACATTTAGTCACACTGAAATGGAAAACATTCAGTAAACCTTCATTTATTGTAAATACATGTGCTTTTTAACAAGTGCCACTGCAGAATTAGAATTATGATAAATTCCAGCATATATTTCAGGAATTAATTTTATGCACTGTATTCATATATAGAGTACTGCAGCTGTGACGTCGAAACCCAGAAGACTAATGTGCCACTGATTCCCCTTGAGTTTTTATAATGGGTTTTGTTTTAAAATTCATGAGTAAAATAAGGTCTTCGGTAAATATAACTTGACGATACTTGGACATTTTGCTCTACAACATAATTTACACACACCCATTACGAAAACACAAATTTTGAGGCAGTTATTTATTTATTTATTTTTAAATAATGTTTGTAATGAATGTAAGTAACTACATACGCTTTGTGTTTTGTGTGCAGTTTACGCTGTACAACAGTACAACGTATCATCAACACTATTGTCAAGTTATGTTTACCACAGACCTTATTTTGCTCATGACTTACAAAACCCTATTATAAAAACCCACAGGAAAATCCCAAGGGAAACCAGTGGTGAATTAGTCTTCCGGGTTTTGACGTCACGGCTGCAGCACTCTGTACTGTCAGCATCTGTGGCCATGACCCACCTCACATATTAGTGTTCGAATGTCAAATATCAACTCCAGTGCATGCAACATTGAGAGTAAAACTATGAATCTGTGCCACTGGCTTGTATAGATATATTGGCTTTAATCTTTAAAAGTTGCTGGCTGCTCAGATTGCACACTCTGTCCTGACTGAATGCAAACATCATGCTGGAGCTGGATGACAAATGCCTGCGGTTCTGAGGGATCTCAGAACTGTAACATTACAACAGAAGCCATTAGAGGTGAGTCTCCTCTCAGCTGCCCACTGCACTGTTTGAAGACGCCACTGTAATAAACGTCAGGTCACTCCACGAGAAAAGACGCAATGAACACATCGGCCACTGCTCTGATTTACTGCTGGCTTCCTGTGTTAACCATAACCCCTTAAATGTTCATTTGTTCCTCACATAAAGCCATGGCTTCAGAAGAGTGCATTTATAGTGTATGGGTCATATACTTTTGTGAAAAAGAAGTGCATTCAATTGAATTGAATGAGCACTTGTAATGTAAAAGTATATTTTTAAGGGTAGCCCATTTGTGAAAATGTCTCATGCTGCTCAAACTGATGCAGCTGTTTGATTGAAAACACTGATGAATTTCTACATATTTCATCTACTGTAAATAGGGTCCTTATTGGTTGCCTTTCAGTCGGTCACGCTCGACGTCACGTATTGGGAATCTAGCCAGAGAGACCAATCCGCTTCGAGTGTAACTAAACTAGCCAATGGGCATTGGCATGCGGAATTCATTCGCATCTGCCACACCTCGCAGCGCAGGTATAAGAGGCAGCAGGTGCACCGCATTCATTCATCCTTTCGCTTTGGAGCTGAGCGGTGGTGCATCACTACTGCTCTCTACTTCGGTGATTGCAAGAAAAAAAAAAAAGAAAAAAGCAAGTGCGGGCGTTACGACAACAGCAGCAGTGGTCACGAGATCATCAAAGATGGTGGCCCGCTCCCCTGCGTGCTTCAGCATTAGAAAAGAGCAATCTCTAAAAGAGCAATACAGGTGATCGTGTCTTTTTAAAGATGTCTTATTACCCGTGTGTTTCTGGGTGTTGACGTTTCCTGGCGCCTCAGGACGGTCACGATCGCTGTCTCACGTGCCTGGGCATTAGTCACGCTGAGAAAGCGTTTGTGGGTGGTGCATGTTCTTCTTGTGGGGACATGACCATCTCGGAGTTACATAAAATACTCAGCTACGTCAAACGTGGTGAAGTCCCTCTGCCGCGATCCAGCGTTCCACCCTTAAGGTTTACGTTGCTGCTATTTCCGCCCACCACAACTCCATAGAGGGGAGGTCGGTGGGGAAGCACGATCTGGTCGTCAGGTTCCTTAGAGGGGCCAGGATGTTAAATCTTCCTTGGCCTCCCTCCCTACCCTCTTGGGATTTGGCATTGGTGCTAAGAGCCCTACAAACTGCCCCATTCGAGCCTTTGGAGTCAGCTGAAGTTGAAGTTTCTTTCTATGAAAACCCTACTCCTGACTGCACTGGCCTCGATCAAGAGGGTGGGGGACCTGCAGGCATTTTCGGTTGATGAATCGTGCCTTCAGTTTGGGCCGGCTGACTAAAGTGCAACACTGAGACCCCGGCCCAGCTATGTGCCCAAGGTTCCTACCACTCCAGGTAGTGAACCTGCAAGCACTGCCCCTGGAGGAGGCCCTAGCTTTGCTCTGTCCTGTATGCGCACTGCGACAGTACGTGGATAGAACTCAGAGCTTTAGGACCTCAAAACAGGTGAACTAGCGATCTGAAACTATGGCATCAGCACCCGAAGGGGTAGGGATAAGGTGAGCAGACGTCCCGTTTTTCCCGGGAGTCACAATTCGTTATTGATTAACCTAAAGTTAGTGAAGGCGGGATAGGCGGAATCACGCTGATAGAAGTGCTCTCTCTCTCTCACGCACACTCCACTTCTTCAGTTCTCATCTACAGCACGCGATCAGTTCTCAGTGCTCAAATACACACACAGCAGTCCAAATGTCACAAGGTGTGCCCTGCCCGCTCAGGCTGCGTACTCACTCCACTAGGGCTGTTGCATTGTCCTGGGCGCTGGCTCGTGGTGCCTCGCTAGCAGACATTTGTAGAGCTGCGGGCTGGGCGACTCCTAACACGTCCGCTAGGTTCTATTGCCTACATGTCGAATCGGTTTCCTCCTGTGTTCTCACCTCAAACGGGTAGTGGCACTGAGAGGCCCGGTTCAGAGTTGGCTTGCGGTGTCCTTAACACCTAATTCTCCAGAGAGTTCACCAGGCCTTTCAGCCAATGAATTCCTGAAA